TTCCCTTCCTCCAATTCCCTTCCCCCAGTTCCTTTCCTCCAGTTCTCCTTCCCCCAGTTCCCTTCCCACAGTCCCCTTCCCCCAGTTCCCTTCATCCAATCCCCTTCGTCCAGTTCCCTTCCCACAGTTCCCTTCCCACAGTTCCCTTCCTCCACTTCTCCTTCCTCCAGTTACTCTGACAAGCTCATTTTGTCCAACATTGTGTGGGCCCCTCATGGATATCTCTGAGCACAATCAGCCCACTCGGTAATGTCCCTGCACATGTTTTACCGCAACAACCTCTAGTCAAAGCTCCCCCCAAGGCATGCTTGACAGTTGGCGAACTCTTGGCCAGCTTGGTGCTATTTGGCACCCACCGCGCTCTCGAACATGCTTTACCAGCATTCAAAGCAATTTCCGGTTTGATGACACAGCACTTGTACGAATATACCGTTTTGGACACGGAAGGGAAAACATCGAGGGGATTACAATTCCAGCCACTGCCAAGGAGCAGGCCATTGGACTGGTTGTCTCACAGCAGCAGGATGAAAAAAGTCATGCCGGAAACCCCTAAATGTGGTTTATATTCGTTTTCAAATTACCGCCCTTTCAAGCCGCTACTAAACTACCAACAAGGCCGATTTTGGAGGAGTTTTCTTATTAGGTTCCCCAAAGTCATGCACCTGCCACGAAATCCGCACTTCCAGCCTGCCACGAAATCTGCACTTCAAGGTCCATTCAAGGATCCTTCCACTGACCCTATTTTGGACCACCCTGATTTCAGGGACCCCCTATTTAAAAAAATGCGACCGAGGTTTCCTTATTAGGGGGGGGCGGGGGGCGGGTGTTTTAATAGGTGGACGGATTAGGCACATGTTCAGCAAGCATCCTGTCTGCTCCAAACAATGTGGAGAATGATGACTCATCTTGTCTCGAGAAAGCTTTTCACTATTGGCCGGCTTCCATCAATGGTCTTTGTCGCAGCTGCACAAATTCAGGTGAGCCGCCGAACCTGGTTGGTCATGTGCGAGAGAAGGCGATCCGCTTTCTCTCGGCGATCCTGAGAGAAGCCAAGTCCAGTCCCGCCAAGCTAAAAGGTATCCTGGTTTTGAGTTCAGCAGCTCCATGTCTGAAAGCCTCAAGTGGTTGGGCTGTAAAGACATCTATATATATAATTTGAAATCAGGAGAATCTGAGTGTGTCTCTGGCTCATAACTGGCGCCTGCCTATGTCACCCGGCGGTTTGATCTCAACACACTGTTCCATCCGCAAAGTGATACTTGAGGTTCCCTTTTCATTTAGCTGTTTCATGCTGTTTCTTGGGTCTTTGTGACGACCAGTGACAGCAAGTGAGGGACTTCTACACCCGCGGCACTCTGCCAGGCACAGGCCTGGGCCCGGTCCATGACCTCGTTTCGGAGGGCGCCGAAGCGCACCAAGGCGTCAGCGAACCTCGCAGAGGGTCAGCAGAAAGCGGAGTGCCAGACCAGTGGGTGCAGAGGTTCGGCTGTGGAGTCCAAATCTGGAGACCTAAACCATAAGTTGATCTCCCTAGTGGCCCTACTTGTAGTACGTAGTCTATTCTGTCCTTCGGTGGTCAAAGTCGCTTGAGATACAGTAAATCATTCGATGACTAGGTAGGTAGCTCTTGCTGCCGAGTCTGACAAACCTCCAAATATGAAGCTTCGGATGCTGCTGGATGGTGGATCCCCAGAAAGTGTCAATAACCGTCTGTTCTTGCGGGAGACTTGCACGCACAAATCACGAAACGATTCACCTCCAGCAAGAGCAACCCAGTCTTAAGACGTCTTAAGTGTGCAAAAACTGCCAAAAGAAGCATGTGCGTCACATAAATCAATGCCATTCCAAGGCTTCAACTGCCGTTTGTTAATTCATCCAGTTGTTGGAACTCACCACACATGATCACCCCTGACTGGCGCGGCGCACTGTGGGGAGAACATCTGGACTGTAAGGCTATACACACACCGCTGTGTGTTTCGATTGATCGACTTTAAGTCTGCATCCCACCAACCCCACCCATGATTGGAGTTGAATATACGTAGTTTCAAGTTTTCGGCCCCAGACGGGGCGAAAACACAAACACTTGAGAAACTTGAAAGTAACCAATCATGGCCAACCTTGGGGTTGATTGATGTTTATCCAAACCAGCAGGAACATGAAGCTGTGGACTGTGAATTGATTTCGCATGTCTTTGTCCCGCTCCAAGATATGGGGCTTTCAGACTTTAATGCGAACAACATAGAAATCACTTTAACAAATTTTAGCAATACGTAGTATTTACCTCCCATATCTATATAATGATATATATATATATGCAATCAGTGGACCTCTTCCATTCTGCCCTGTCTTCCACGTTCACGCACCCTGTCTTCCACGCCCCCCGTCTGCCACGTGTCAAAGGGTTCAGATCGCTGGTCAAGGTGATGGCCTCCTCCCCGCGGCGATCTCGGTTGATCCTCACCGCGGCGCTCGAGGAGCTCGGCGAGGAGCGCTCCGAGCGGACGCGGTTTTTGCGCTCTCGTTTGACTAATGCGTCCTGCGGCAGGCAGCGTTTCAAAGTACTAGACGTTCATGGTCGATTCATGGTGATCGAGAAGCCTATTGGGGTCCAATGTCTGAATACAAAGAAAGCTCATGGCTTTTAAAGTTTCTCCAAGGGGCTCATTGGCCGCCAGGTCCTTGGATCAGGACGCAGAGCGCCGGGCGAGTTGGACTAGTGTCTTGACCTGACCACTGAAATGTACTGTATATGCCTATACATATATGACTATACAGTAATCATATGTGTATGATTGTGTATATATATATCATATCTAGATGTTTTTAAACCACTAGCTTGCATCTTAATAGCTTTACACCTGGGAAAATCACACATAAACAAAGTTCATCTTCATCCACACTATCTGTTGGATGACCTTATGCGTCGAGTGCAAGCCTCCTCGAATGTTTCAAACACTGTCGTGGAGTACTCACCTGCCTTTCATGAGATGCAACTCATGGCACAAAAATACCAAGCATGGGTTTGGTTGGGGATTGTCAGATTGCAGCAACAGCATTAATGAATGATGATGATGATGATGATGATGATGATGATGATGATGATGATGATGATGATGATTGTACGGTAACGGCCTGTCCCAGTAATCAGTACTGGTACGTAGTGACAAAGCATTACCGACTGTTGTGAAACAGGATGAACCCAACACCCAACTTGGAACCTCTTGTGACACCTAGAATTTCCATGACTTGGAGTGTTGTCTCTCGTTCTGTTTAGGGAAGAGATCGAAAAAAAAGAAAGCCCCACTGCCCAAACTAAACCCTAATCCCCCCCAGTTCAACCAAACAAATTCTTCCACTCAGCCCACTTGCACGGATCTCTTGCCAAGACCTCACGGACAACCTGGACCTGTCCCTCTGAGTCTAAAGCATTGAAGCTCAGGTCGGAGGGCTTGACCATCTGACTGCTTTTTTGTCCTTCACAGTCACCCTTTAAGGCAGTCTTGTAGTTTTCATATCAGGGCAGTAGGTAGATGGCTGTAGTAGTGAAGCCACTTGGGAGAGACCAGGTGGAGCGATGTTCGTTTCGAAAGACTTCGATCCAGGTGTCAGGTCCAAACTTTGTTTTGCGGAGGGGGCACCAAACTTGTAGATCTGAGAACAACTATGCAGATATTTCTAGCCAAGTTCAGGCAATCCATGTTGCAAGCAAAGGGATGTACTAAACGATGGAATGCACATCTACGCCGATTCCCTCTATATTATGTCCATTCTTTACATATTAATTGCTTTCAGTCTTTGTGTGAGGTGTCCGATCTCAATACACACCCTCAAAAACTATAAAGAAACAAAAAGAAAAACATGACGTTCCCAGTTCCCAGCTTCATCGATAGTGGCAGCTCGCCGTAGATCTGGGATCCTTGGCCGAACATGTTCACAAGAAATCGGTGAAGCTGAGATCATCAGTTCATTTCATTTGTTTGTAAGGCCTGATGAAAATAACCAATCAGTTGATAATCTGGGCCTCTGGGCATCGGCTTCGTAATCGGTCTATTTTGGTGAGCATATGTAAGCATCTGCCTTCTAATGTCCTCATGAAAATGAAAAGGAGAACTGAACCCAATGGCTGCCAGGTAATTAGCTCAGGAATCTATGCTAGATGTTGAAGAAAATGCTTGTCTGTGTGCCAATGTTTGCAGGGGCAACATCTCTTGTCAGAAGGTCTCCAGCTCAATCCTCGATGCTCTTGCTTGTCATGCAAGCACCGCGATCGAAGTCTACAAGAAAGGCAACGCCAAAACCGGAGTTTAAGTTCTCTGCCAAACGAAGGAGCTGACTGCTGTCCAACTACCAGAGCGAGGGACTCACGGAAGGCTACACCACACAGTGGCTCAAGTGATCCAAGAAAAAACTCTGCTCATATTGTCCAAACTAAAAAATACTCACTCTTTCCCGATTCCCCTCTCGACTAAGAACCATCATGTTGAACCATCAAAGGAATGCTCTCGAAAGGCCCTTCTTTTCGGGCATGCTCTCCAGTCCAAGGTTTGAAAAAACGAGATAAGTGTGTGTGTATATATATATATTGTTACTACTAGTAAGGCACTTGTTCCTAGTAGCGATGCACCTGTTACTAATAGCTTTTTGTTACTACTAGTAAGGCACTTGTTACTCCCTTTACTTGCCACTTGTTAATATACACATACTATGACATGCTGACATGCTACCGATGCTCAGAACCACCTAGGCTACACAGCTGAAACAGTAATCAATTATACATTGCCCTGTTTCTGAGGTGACCTTGTAAGAATCTGATGCCCTACATGGTGGACTTCCAGGTCAGATTCTGGATATATCATGATATATCAGGGTTTCTACCTTCCCTTTTGGTGGAAGCTTCAAGTTTGAGCATCACAGATACACGCAGCAACAAGATTGTGATGGGTGTTAACTCAAAACAAGTTATCTCTCGATGATACCAAACAGAACCTAAAGCATCCTGTAAACTCATGGCGCCACTGCCCCTCGTGTGGCTTGCAAATACCCAAAATGGCCGTGCTCCCTTACCTGCAAGGCCAGGTGTCCAGCTTCGTTGCTGCTGGCGAGCTTGTTCCTCACGATGGGATGGATGGAACACGGGAAAAAATGCATACGCAACCAAAGTCCTGAGGACATCAGGCGACGTGGTCTACAAAAACCTCTACCTTTCCCAGAATACACCACATGTTGCCTTGTTGTTGGTTTTTCGCTAGATGGGACATCCTTCCGGCAAAACGGACATGCGATACAAACATTCTTGGGTGGGGGTTTCTACTCTCTCAGGTGAGGGAGGACTGCATGGCTGTCTCCCACTGTTCACTTGCCTTGTCAATCGTGGCTCAAACTGCCAAGACCGTGCCAGGCATCAGCTGTTCTCCGATTCTTTTCCGTCATGGATGTTTTTCGTCTCTGCTGTCCGACAGCAAACCACACCCTGTGCTGCAAAAAAAAAGGAAGACACTGGTCGGCGACCCCGACCTCCCGGGCGGGCGAAACCGAGACTCGTCGGGGTCGCCGAACTCGCGGTCTTCACCGAGAGTTGGGTGTGACCGTGTGACTCGCTGACATCACTCGTGTGGATCCACGAGGATGGTGGATACGGGGATGCTGGCTCGAACCGCTGGTCATGTTGCCAAGCAAAAAGGCGAGTGATGACATGAATGAAAGTAAGTATAGCAGGGTCACTGGAAGACGAAGTTGAAAACATATCTCGCACTTCCTTAAGGCTTGTGTTTGCTTCTGCATTCGCTCTCTGATTCCACGTCTTTATTGATATATATATATATATGATATATATATATATATGATATATATATATATGTCAATTTTATTTGATTGTTTCGTGCGTTTGGGTACAGCTTATCCCAGTAACAGTGGATGATGGTTAGTAAAGGCCTTTCTCAAAAATGGTGATAATTGTTTTACTTTTGCGGTACCGGTGATGGGCTACACCCTACGTTGAGTATACAATATTATACAATATTTGAGTATATTCCAGTACCCGTAAATGGTGGGTCATGGATCGATCTGACCTTTGGATACCTTTCGCCAAGGCGCAGCCTTCAGCAGTTGCTCCAACTCGTCATTGGATTGAAAAGCCACGCTTCGGGTCCTTACAGGCGTCGATGTGACGCTCCAAAGGCACGTCCCCCGATGACGTGCGCATCGGTTTTGGGAACAGGGCGGTCCACAACGCAGGATCCGGCCGCTCCAACTCCAGCTCTCTCCGCTTTCGATCGGGGTGGGAAACACACGCCGATTTCGGCGACGTCACCAGTCGTGGGAACAAGGTATCGCACCAAGCGACACGTGCTCCAACTTTCCAAATGCGCTGTTAGCCATGTCTAGGTTGGTTTCAACAACCTAAAAACTGTTGTTGGTGGCAGATCCTATAACTTCCGACCAAGAGATCATTACGAAAGAATCCTTGCCGTTTCTTCCCAGAAAAGGCAGGTCAATGTGTCCCTTGAGCCGCCATACCCCTATTTCGAGAAGAATGTAGACAACCCGGGTTCCCTTATTTCTACTTGTCTTGAGAAACACCCAACGTTGCACACCTATTCTCGCTCGGCCCAGAGTCTGAGTACCGCCGGGGCAGCTCTTTTTAGCTGCTTGTCTGGCCAGCGAAGGTTTCTCGTATCCGCGCAGGAAGGCCTGGAGATGCATCAAAAGTGCCCCGTCCTATAGGCCGCATGGCTGAGCATGGCCTTAAAAATGTACAATGGATATATATATATATACATTGGATATACCCAAATGCCCACTTGAAGAGACCTTCGGAAAGCCGTCTTCATTGCTGGTATATAATCAATATCATTCTCATATTGGCTTGGTTGCCAGACTCTTGCTCTACCTCGGAAAGAAGTCAATTGAGCCTCAAAGGCGGGATGTCTGCCTTCAGGTGAAACTCCCGCCTTCAGATGTGCTGCCCATTTGGCACTTCGCTGGTGCACTTCCAGAAATGGCAAGCTATGAAAGGGCCTGAGGCGTTCGGTGGTCACTTTGGCATCCGAAGTTCCCCCGGATGCCCAATCGAAAGTCATGAAGTACACACCTACGTCATGTGACGGCGAATGCTGTCTTAGATTCTTTTAGGCCTGATGTCAAGTTCTCTTGGAAGCCACTGACTAGCTGAGCTAAGCAGTCTAAGCTGGATGAAAGAGGGAATTGCGATGGATGAATCACCAAAAGGATCCTCACCAGCGGGGACTCTGGGAACAAGGAACAAAAACACAACAGAAAGGAGGAGTGTCTTCCTTGATCATAAAATGAGGTGTCCTCATCAGGGACAGTCAAACACAATAAGATTAAGTACACTCCCTTAAACAATCATAGAAGTGGAACGAGGGTTGTGGAAGACAATTTTCCTCTATATAAGGGGGGTTCTGGTCAGCTTGCATGTTTGTTGGAAGGAGGGTAAAGGGTAATTGAGGCGCAGCCCAGATTCTCTCCCAGATCTTCTTGACATGGACCTGGTCGCTGCTTGGCTGATGTGTTTGACATAAACCTGCCTTTCCAGCGGGTTTAAGCCAGTGTCCCGGCTGGCTCCACAGGAAAAAAATGACAAGAAAGGGCTGACTAAGAAATACCAAGCAGCTGGAGCCATATGGCACAGCCTTGCAGGTGGGAGGTCGAGCAAGTGGATGTGAAAAAGATGTTTGTCAACATGTTTTGACCACATCATCCTCAAAGAGATCGAAACACATGATCCACAAGCATGCCACGCCCTAGACTTTCTTCTGAGGACCACCCTTACCAGCTGGTACCTGATCAGGTGATAACTTGGAAGGGGATGGAAGGGGTAATTATGATGGCCTAGCTGTGGGACGTGTATCGTTCTGTTTGTTTTCTCGTATATTTCATGCCATGCAAATATAACCATGCAAACGGGCCGAAGAACCAAAACTCTTTCAAGGCCGCTGAAATGAGGGGGCACCCTGGTGGCTCTGAAAATGAACAGATTCCTCCAAAAAGGGGTGTCAAATGGTGTCAACCTACCTTGTTCTTTGTGAGGAAGGTTTTCACATTTTTTGACCCAGAAGAAAAAGGTAGGTTGACACAGAAGAACGGAGCGACCCACCAGTGGCGCACCTTCGACGGCACGGGTGCCACGCTGCCTCAGGCGGGCCCATCCGCATGTGGAGGTGGAGAAGCGGCCGAACGAAGAAAAAAAACGAAAGAACATAGAAGAGAAAGGTGCTACTACTAGTAAGGCACTTGTTACTAGAAGCGATGCACTTGTTCCTAGTAGCTTCTTGTTACTAGTAGTATAGAAGAGAAAGGTCTTTAACCAAAAATATCTGAGACATGGAATCTGGATGTATGGCCCTGAAAGGAAGAGGACTCTCCGACTTACCTCGGGAAACAGGTGAACTCTAAGAGCTAACACATGACGAGTATGGCGCCATGGCTGAACCTTTCTACTAAGCCCTTCTTATCCTTTTTGGTGTGAACAACAACCCATATCAACTCATGGCTTAAGTTTCCCTAAAAATCTAGGAACCAAATCATTAGTGCGAGCGCTTCTTCAAGGAAGCTTCCCCGCCTTGAAGAAGCATGAGCTATCCTGCAATCTAAGTAGTAGCTACTTAAGCTACTAGTTACTAGCTACAAGTACCTCTTCTTCTAGCTACCTAGCTACTACCTCTACGGCCTACCCCCCGGAAAAAAAAGATATCAACACTCAAATCAGCCTCTTGGACTTGGCTCCACAAAGAAGGAACCTCCGCCCAACAGTGCACTCCCCAGCGGCGGAAGTCCACTGGTCCGCTGTTCGTTCCCCTCGTTCGCCTCCGCATGGGCCTCGTCCACTCCGTGTCACGACGTGTGTCCGGTCAAGCACGGGATCCAAAACGAACAAGTCCTGGGAAACCGCTGGAAGGGGCAAATGGACTGGAATAGACTGCTGACAACATGATCTCCCTCTACCAAGGGGCGCTCATTTACATCCACGCTGTGTGAACTCATGGTCCTATTTAAAAAAATCCAAGACAGCACCCGCCCAGCCATGCCTCCTTCCTGAACCGGATGCAAGAAAATGGCGGCTCGAGCCGACACTGCTGTCATTGTTTGGACGAAGTGTTCCATTACAAATGGGTTTAGGGGACCATGCGAGTTGACAGGGGGGGACGACCTAACAAACAGGATATCACAAAATTCCCAATTGCGCTCGCACCAAGAGCGTATGCAATCAACTCGGACAGGCAAAGCTTTGACAGCATGGGAACATTGCGGATGATCAATTTTCCCGGCAAACGCTAACATGAGACAAACTAGCAAGAAGCTACTAGGGGCTCCTGGCCTCACTACTAGGAGCAAGGACACTACTAGGGGCTCCTGGCATCGCTACTAGGAGCATTCTTACTACTAGGAACAAGAGGACGCTACTAAGTTCTTCTCCAACGAACGAACACTTCGAACACCGTCCCTGAGCTGCTGGCGTGGAAGCTGCACGCTTTGTGCGCCACTTGGGCCGCCCGTGATTGGTGCTGGCATGGTGACACCACGCGCGGCACACGCCTGGGGGAGTTCAAGCCAAAGGTCTGTGACTGGCTCTGCGCCTTTGGGGTTGGGAGGGCCCAAGTACTTGGAGCTAGGGATTGTGGGCAGTACTGCTTGTTGGAGGAGTACCACTTACAAACTGCTCTAAGCTTGGATGCATTGTGGTTCACATACAGTAGCAGTTACAAGCAGCTACACACATGCCTTTACTTCATCCCGGCCCCTGCCTGGCTACACAAGCAGACTGAATGTTGGAGCTCTTATAGTAAAAACATAATCTGTCGTGTCTTGTCCCTATCTAAAGAAAGGATCTCAATTTCCACCCAATAAAAATGTAAAATGTAAACTCTCAACTTCAACTTCCGGCAAAGAAATGTATACAACATATATCTCCCTCTATATATACATTGATCTTTATTTATAGTGTCGCTCTCCTTTCTTTGCATTAGGAACAAACTCACTGTACTTAGGCCTGTGTCCCTGGTACAACACCAGTCACGTTTCACTCATGAAGTCCGGTGCGCGTGGTGATATATGAAATCCTGGTGACTGAGTTTGTTGTTCCCTCTATACTCCCAGAACAGTCGTACAGCGTGAAATCCGGCTCCGGCTCCAGCGCTTCCATGCGTTCACGCTGCTTCCAAAGGAGCTGTCGGTGGGACCGGGTTTAAGGGCACGGAGCTGTCAGGATCGGCCCTGTGGACATCCCGCCTTCACCTCAATGGACATTGGAACATTCATGACCTCAGCTGATCCAGTTCCGAGGTCTTTCTGGGCGCAGAATTCGGTGTGTTTGGGAGGTGTTTTCAACCCCACTCCGTTGTTTGCAAGGGAGGCAGTTCCACTGAGCTTTCTGGAGGACACGTTTGCATCGTTGTAAACCCACCTGCATCATCATATATGAGGATCCATGCTGATGTGTTCGGGGGTCAAAAAGGTCGGAGGGCAAACATCAAACACGAACCGACCGACCTGACTGACCTCACGGGCGTAAAGGTTCCAAACCGATCAGATTCACCTGGGTGACTTGCCCGATCATCGGATGCCGCTCTTAGCTTGGAGGCCATGGCTATTAGGTTCACCTGACTTACCTGAACATGGTTGGACAGTTCAGTGGTTCAGTTCATCTGCTTTCATCTCCACACCCGCGCCATGGCTCGATCCGTGTACGGAGCGCGTGCGTGGCTTGGTCGGCTTGGTCAGTTCGAGTGGTCGAGAGTTGGGACCGCACCGTATCGCTGTATGCCATATAGGGCCATATTATGCCATATTACATGCGGGAGCATGCTGCAATTCCTCTGGATCCGTAGAGCCCCTTTTTTGCACAATCAACAGGTCTAGGAAACATACCAGCAAAATCCAGCAAAATGATTCACAGCTTTGTCATTCAAACAGGAAACCTCTGACCAGGAACTTGCTTGCTGCTCATCCGTCCGTTTCCGTAAATATGTGTAACACATTATGCCATATATATATAATATATTGTAACTTTACGATTGTTATATCTTGTTGTATATCATTTATTGTCACTATCATATGGCCGGTTGTTTTTGTACAATCTATTATCTATTATCTATTATGATGTAATATACATGAATATGCATGATATAATATGCATCTCCTATTGACAATTGACAATTGAATTGAACATACAGTAATTGAACACATTCTGACCTTTTCCTGAAACTTGCTCCTCACCCAACCGCATTATGACCGCCACCCTCTGTCCACTCGTGACTTCGTGTCCGTTCAGCCACCGACTGGGCTCCGCGCGGGCGCCGGCTCAATCTCAGAGCGTCGGTAGAGCTTCCGCTGCGAGGCGCTGGTGTTCCGGGGCAGCCTCGGGCGTCGAGGCGTCCAGCTGGAAGCGATGGCCTCCAACCTACTAGCGATGTTCAAAGAGTTGGGATTTGGATGGGATCACATGTTGAAAATATTTGAACATGGTGTACCGGTACAGGTCTCGTATGTGACCAAGTGTCAAGGTCAATACACCGGAGCACAATGAGCAAGAACCAACAGCGACCCGAAGACTAGAGACATGACAGAAAGCAAAAAATTATGAAAGGTGACGAAATGAGTACTACCTAGAGCACTGCGATCAAGTATAAGTAGAAAGTTGTGTGATGTGGAGTATTAGGATTGGCAACATGCTCAAGGGCATAAAATGAATGGGGTACAGTAATTAAGACACGCTCATGGTTAAGCCAAGGGTTCATTTTGTTTGCACATATTAATCATACTAAATCCAGATCTGGACTGGTACCCTACAGAGCTTTGTTTGTAGCTCTTCTGGTTCCAAATGTTGCAGATAGACCGGCCTACCGTTACGGAATGGCAGATTGATCTGCGCTCCTGAGATCTGCTTGAGGAAATTTGTCAGTTCGACAGAACAGCCCAGAATAGGTCGACAGCAAAGGCCAGTATGAAGGTGAAAAACATGCTAAAATCTGTGGCTATAGAACTTATTGTCTCTGTTTATATATAATATAGACTATAGACAATATCTGTTGCTTGGAATGGAATGCAATGTATTTCTACCCATAGATTTTTACCTAGAGCCACATGAGAAACATCTTTGGGGCTGATACCCATTGAACGCCATTGAAGCTATGGCTCGGAGCCAAACACCTTGTGCGTCCACCGCGCCAGCTTGACAAAATAAAATCAGGAGCCATTCGTGTTGGAAGGTTGAACCTCAACAACCTTGGCTCACTCGGGTTTGCCTTGCCTCATGTGACTGACCGCTTCTCGCGCCCCAAAGCAGAAAAGGACTGTTTTCAAGTGGACCCAGAGACCGTCAATGAGTCAAACAGATGTTGCCAGATTAGTTGCAGATTTCTGTTGATTGACAACTGCTGCACCTGCACAACTCTAAACACTCCAAAAGAGGAAATAAACCCCCACGCACAAATGATTCTCTGTGCCTTAAAGTATTCACAGCCGCTTTGCAGCTGCTGCAGCTGCACGCCGCAATATACATCTCGGAATGACATTTACGCCAAGTGCATTGGCTGATCCCTGCTGATCCTCTTGAGCTATGACACTCTGAAGACCTGGTTGCACAAGGGGCAGCGAGCCTTGCTTTGTGAAACAAACCATTCCTTTATGCAAGTCCGATGGAAGTGATGGCCGCAGGGAACTTTGACTTCCTGAGCAGTCCGAAGATGACATCGGAAAACAATTCCCAGCACCATAAACTAAACAAAAAAGGACAACACACTTCGGATGCGGGGAGGAGAACGAGCGAGAGAGAGAGAGCGAGAGCGAGAGAGAGAGAGAGAGAGAGACAGCAAGAGAAGAGAAGGAGAATGAGAAAGAGAAGGATCAGAGAAAGAGAGAGTGCATGTGTCACGAGAAAACTTCTTGAGGTTGTGAAGTGATCTCCGAATATGAAAGCTAAGTGGCACCAGTACCCAGCTCACCCATGATCAACTACCAACTACTAAGAAACCTTTTGCCGGCATCCCATCCTCTGTCTTTTCACCATCATTACGAGTACCTGGCATCCTCTACGACATTCGTCAAAGGCACTGAAGTACCAAGGTCCTCCTGACAAATGGCACATGTCTCCACGACATCCATCACCACGTCCTCAAGAAGCTCATCCACCGTTTGAGACCACTGATGGATGGCCTCAAAGACTGGGCCCTTTGAGGCAAGCCCGGCTGGGTTTGGCCAGATCCGAGCGGTTTGGACGATCTGGCTAATTTATCCGTGGAGTCTGGAAGTGCTAAGGGCTGAAAATTTGCTTTGAGAGAAGGCCCCCTTTGTTAGAAAGCCACGTCTTCGCTTGGTTGGAAGAGATCTCAGCCCGTCGTTTGGATCAGAATAAAGAGAGTATTCGAGAGCATAGACAAACGAACACAGAACAAAAACACATGGAATTCTCCGGTATTTTCTCCCCCCCTCTCCCTTTGGATGCGGCAGTATCGATATGGCCCTCAAAGGTACAGGGAATAGGGCATGTGGGGGTGGTTTGGATCCTCAAGAGTTCACCACTGAATGGATAGGAAGCGAAAACATGTGTGGATTGATAACACTCTTCAAATCCACATTTAAGAAAGACCGAGCCACCAAAGCTGTTCTGAGCACTTGGGCCTGCTGAGCGGTTGGCTGTCGATTGATGAGGAGATATACCACCTGACTGGCAAGCTCATGGTCCAACAACGGTGTGAACTGCTTGCCTAAGAAATGGAAAACCAACAACACCATGAAAGGGACAGTCTAAAGTTCCGTCTCAAGTTTAAGGCTAACGGCTAACGATTGAAAGCAAGTTGGCCGTTAGCCCGCGACCTTGTCCTGCCGGAAGTGCTCCAGCATTTGCCCTGGCGTCCTTGCCCCATTGGCCTCCACGACCACGTGCCCTGCTGCGATAGCACACTGAGGATGTTCTTCGTTCCAGCCCTTCACTGCCTCGGAGCCCTGGATGTCAAGAATGAGGAGAAATGGCAGGTCACCATGCCCTGACACCGTCAATCCAAAGGACCCCCTCTGACTTTGCAGGCACGCTACATACAATCCGCCGGCAGCACCTCTTCCACTCTCTGAAACCTCGGACCCTTCCGGTCGACCATCATCGAAAGGAGGTCGACGAGGGAGCTGAAGGTGGAAAGCCATGCGACCTTCACACATCAGCTATCTGATCGATCTCATGCTCCAGCCTCCGCTGTGGAGTCATCTGGAGCCGAAATTTGCAAACGAGCAAAGCACGTGTGAGACTCGATGGATCTGTGGAGTTGCAGCCGAGGGAACAGGGTGTCGTTTCATCTGGCTTAATATACAGCGAAGAGAAGCTAATTAGGGGCCCCTGTGAGAGTCATCGCTCTCTCTCTCTCTCTCTCTCTGTTAAAAGCTAAATGAATGCGACCAGGCACGTCAATGACCAGGCTGTTGCATGTGCTGGCAAAGCCATCCTTGGCACGCGTCACGCTTCTGGGAGGACTCTTGGCATGGACTCATATTCACCCTGACCACAGTCCAGACTCCGGGTCGATGTTTGCAAACACATCCAAAAAGTAAAATATACACAACTCAATCCTCCTTCGACTCACACCCACCCACCGCGTGTGCACTGTTCCAGCGCGCAATTTTCAGAGTGTTTGCCGAGGCTCCGTGGGGGCACCGGCTGGCCGAAGATGGGGGCCCGGCTCTGGGCAACCTCTGCCTACGACGTGCGCTTCGAGCATTGCGCTCGCAGGCACCTACCACCGATCCTTGCAGCCAACGAGTGGGTTCACAACTTGATGGCGTGCACGCACGTCTTTTGGTTGATATATGCTTGACCATCGCTTCTTGGCTTCTTGGTCAACCTCAGATTCTGTTAGTTTCCAGGGGTTGATATGCTCAACGATTACGATTCCAGCGTAGGTCAAGTGGCGTCGACTTGACACGAGCATCATCACTTGGAAGGGGTTTCTGATATCACATAATCAGACCTGGCACAAACAGGCAGAGCCTTTTGACCAAGCCTGCTCAGGCGTGAAAATCCGCCAGGTGATCGCCTTCTCCTCCGTGGCCTGTGCCGGACGACCGGACGACCGTTGTCACGACCGTCATGGATTATTTCGAGTGATCAAAGCAAGGATGGATGTGAGAGAATCACTACATCCTTAGCTCCACAGCTCCACAGTGCTCGTCTCAAGACATGCTCAACACCTGTCTTTTCCGCATCACTTTCTGGACCACTTGTAGAGCCTCCCCCCCCCGAAGCTGTGGCTTAACAAACCCATCAAACCCTCTTTTTAGAGCGGACCTCAGATTGGATGAACCGGAGCCATGGGCTCGAAATGGTTTGAATTTTCTGAATGTGATGATCATCTTCTGACATCTTCTGACCAAACCCTTCGTCAAGCGACCAGGTGCAAGCAAGCCTGGAAGTCATGTTCACTTCCAACAAATGAAAGGAATAATCCATAATAATCCTAACAGGGGCAGGGTCTTTCACAACTCTTTCCTGAACATGCTCGGGTCTCATTCCGCAAAACCCTGGTCTAATCCGAACGCCACCTGCCGGTCACCTGGAGCGTCATCTTCATCCTCACAAGTCAGGATTTTGCCCTCCAGGAAGTTGTCAATGGTCATGGAATCAGGATCACAGGAGGATTGGTCCAAATTCTTCCTGTCCGAAAGAACAAACTCATACAAGCTCCTGCTTGGCTGTAAAGCTGTGTCAGTATGTCATAGATCAGAAGCGTCGACGATCCTTATGGACAACTTGTGGACCAAAACAGAGACGGAACGTACAAGAAAACAAACGAAGACCGTGCGAGGCGGGTCCCGAAGGGCGTGAGACTACCTGCCGATAGGTGCCAGAACTGCCCCACTTCACAAGGGCAGGCTGAAGGAGCCTCTTCAGCAAAGCTGATCTCAGCACTGCTCAGCACTGCAGTGATGTGTGCAGATCGTTTACGGGGTGACAAACAACTTAAGAGCTTCAAAGACAATGTGGCCGGAGCTCCACTGGATGTCTCCGGAAATGCCTCGTACTTCAGGAGAAATATGGAGATACTATATATTGTACATGAAGATATTATGTATATTGGAACATGCTGGCCACTGAAGCCACCCCGAACCATCCAGTTGACTCCATCCAACTGTACACCGTAGCCCGTGCATGACTTGATGACTCTACAGGTGGCCTCTTGGCTGCACTAGTGAGACACCCAATACACACCTGCCAGTACAAACCCAGCCCATCCCCCTGCTTCTTCACTTTGAACCTTAGTCCATCAGTCGCATTGCGCATCAACTCCAGCTTTGCTTTCACTTTATAGGCACGCAACGTGTTTTCAACTACGTTTCGGTGGGACACACGGCGAGACTGTCTGGCCACCCGGCCACCAAAGTCTTCGTTCATAGCACAGTCAAGGACAGCCAAAACCGATGAATATCGATCACGCACACAAACAAACATTTGATGATGAAGATGCGACAATGAGTGGAGCTTCGGAACCATAGCAAAGAGGGTCACAGAGCGGGTGTGGGAAATGTGTGCCAACCATCCATAGGAGAACATGAACTGCTGGCAACACCGCTGAAGGCAAATCCTGCAAGCCTTCCGAAGCCAGTGGCACAAGATGGTAGAGGTCTCAACATTGTTGAGTTTTTTTTGGATCATGGATGCAATTCCGATGTTCAAAGATGTGGATGGCAACAGCTCCCATTGACAGGCTACTTCTAGGTTATATCCGCTAACAGGTCCAGTAGTCATGAATGCTCTTCTGAGCCACTCCAACCTGGGACATGGACCGTGGGAGACAGCAACAAACGCAAAAGAGCCCCTGGAGTTTGACTTCAGCCTCTTAAGCATCAGAGGCTTTTCTTCCACCAAGTACTAAAAATTAAGCACACTTAGGAAGTTGCAGGATATCTCTGTCTCCCGCCGTGGCCGACCGCCGTCTCCGACTGTCTCGAGGCTCCTCCTCGTCCAAGACTTGGAACTGGATGGACCGGCTCCGGGGAGAGGTGGAGTCCCGCCTTGGCCGCTGGAGGTGTGCAAGTGTCGGATGAGTGGGATGGAAGTATTGGAAGACGGTGAAGAAGCTTCGGGGTGCTTTCTCAATTTGGGGGATAGTTGGAAGGGTGGTGTTCTTGCTTCGGGAGGGTCCAGTCAACTCACCACTTTCACAAGAATCATATTTAACTCATGTTAAATCCGCCTGAAAAGGGACATCTAGTTACAGTAATGTTAAAAGTTGTTGTTTCGATGGTTTAATCACAGGGATGGAATGCAGTTAATCACCAAACTGGAGAACATCCTGTTCTCGATCAAGGAACGTCCATTTCCAGAAAATCAAGGAACGTCCATTTTCTTGGTGCCTCTTTTCAAGGTTTATGATGGTTTGGAGGGAAACAGTGAATCAAAAGGACCTGATTGCGAAACCACTAAGGTTTCAGGTGGTGGTGAGCCCCAGTTGAAGGGATGTGCTTCCAGAAAATATTCCCCGCAGCTAGTGACAATGAGGCTCCAGTTCTCAACGAACACAAATTTGGGGAGCGGTGTCGCAGTGTCTTCCACTGTTTTGCATGTTTCTTCTCAAAGGTGGCGAGAAAAGGTTGAAAGAAATGCCAGGTCATGATGCAAAGAACGTGTCATCAGAAACTCTTCCATGTCTACCCCGCTCCTGACTTTTGGCTGCTTCAAATGCCGGGCATGGTGGGCAGTGGTTTATCTGGCGTTGCGAAACATTGTTGGAGTTGAGCTAGGAGTCTCAGGGGTTATACACGCTGTTGTGGATTTGTGAGTTGGGGCTAATCGATTGGCCGTTGGGTTTGTCGACAAAATGTTCAAAGCTGGATTCGCTGAGGGGTATATCATATCAGGTTGCTGTTGCTGTGTGTCCATCTAGAACGCAGTTGGAACATGAGAAATGCATGAGTGCTTTGATGCTTGCAGGCTTGGAGTCCCAAGGACCAGCGCCAACCAACAAAAAGAGAGACTTGCGCTGCTTTCAATATGTTCCACTAGTCGCTATAGTATTAGTAAGGGTCTCTTTCCTCCTAGAATCTTTGTGATCGTAACAGGTTTATGACTCTCCACGCAGCTTTGACCGACTTTGCGTGCCACATTATATTGATTGGTGTCAACATACTACTGTAACATAACATACTCGATAAGTGTAAAGATTAAATCTACTGCCTCAAAGTGGGAGAGCCATGCACGCTATGCACTGTTTGTTTTCTGGGGTGGAGATGACCTTCAACCAACCTTTTAGACTCGGTAGACCCACACGCTCTTGGCAGTGCCCCACCCTCAGCGCCCCACCCTGAACTGGACGTGCGCCCGCCGTTCGTGCGGGCAGAGTTGGGGTTCGAGCCTTGAACGGTGCCATGGGTTCAATGGGTGCACCTAACTCTAGAGGACTCCATGGTGGTTTTTTGGAGACTTCGAAGTGGCAGGTGGTGACCTGTAGAATTGGGTGGCTGTGAAGAGGCCAAGTGTTCGAACTTCTCGTCTACCTTGATCACGAGGTTTTACGCTTGCAGGAGCATGAAGGAAAATGGTATATGGTGGTTGATCAAAATTTCTTCTTGCTAGAACTTAGTGCTGAACGGCCATTCTTCGCCAAAAAAGTATATACTTTCGCGAATCTTTCGCGAACTCCATGTCTAACTTTTGCGGGGTATATCCTCTAGAAATCTTCTTGGTTTAGTGGTTCTACATAGCAGCCTAAGCACTTCCATGTGTTTGTTTTGATTGTTTGGGACGAGCACGCTATCAACTGCTGTTGTGCTCATGTCTTGCTATGGGTCTTTCGCTGCTTGGCTTGGGCAAAGGACCATAAAACAGGCCTTCAAATTCGCCTATGCTTTCGCAGAGCTTTCGCGAATCTTTCGCCAAAGATGTAAGGTCATTGGTGGGTTTCTAACAACAAAAGAGTTACTATACAGCCTAGGGATTGTGCATCGCCAGTGTGAGCTATATAATATGGAATGTAAAGGCTTGTGAATGTGCCACTGATGACTGACTGTGCCTAGGAGCCATGGCCAAGCCAAATCACCAATGTGAGTGAGCTTGAAACCTAAAGACTGCATCGAAAGTATTCGAAAGTCAGGAATCAAGGCTCCTCCTGAGTGAAGGAAATATGAAGTATACAGTTCGAAAAACTCTAACATAGAGTATAGTAGGACCTTTCGAGATCTTTCGCGAACAAACAAATTACTGTCGCGAACTCGAGAGTTTTTTGCGGACAACTTGAAGAGGCTCTCAGTGACATAGGCCTTATGTCGACCTTTCGATCGACTACCATATAGGCGCTCACAATTCTGGTCTACCTCTGGTTCGAACACGACTATCTATCGGTCACCAAATCCACTGCCGAAGTGAATGGACCTGTTCCAGTCTTGTCGGCAAAAGACCTGGTCCCTGGAGGAGCACAGTTGAAAAGGCTTCACAAGACACAACAAACCTCCGAATTCGAAGAACAGTGTGCACCGACCCGTTCGGTTCGAGAGATAGACCAAATTTCCACTCAGGACGATCGGGGGTGTCCCAGATTTATACATTCAAATACAAACCCAACTCAGAAACTGGTCAAACTGGCCGATTCGCCGCTTTTCCTCTGCCGATTTTGCCGTTGGCTGGTCGTTTGGGGGGGTTGTGTGTCACAGCAAGCAAACGAAACGGTGCAAGCAAGGCTTTGCGAGGCGAATCGATTTCAATCTGGGCCATGCAAGAACATACTTCAGTCGGACATGCCTGGAAACGATCAGCAGCAATCTCAAAGGTGAGTTGCACAGGCGATGGTTTGGTGCTGCCTGCGAAAAGGAAGAGTATGTCGGTCCTATGCACAGACGCCACCCGATCAAGAACCGTTTGATATGGGACCCCTGTAAGCACGAAGGATGAAGCCTTCCCATTCCGTGCAGCCCTCCCTCAAAGATTCTTTCCAGGTGTTGTATCAAGTCCAATACATTGCTTTGCTCAGTAAGCACTTGGACCACATCCCACTCAGCTTGGGTGGGACGGACTGTTTGTTCTTTGGCCCGGTAGAAGAGCTCGGGTGCCGCGGATTGTGGCTCTGCGGTGCAAAAACAACTCAAGCAGCATGACTGTGGGTCAAGCTCCAATCTCATCATGCGCCACAAATAAACTGAATCTTTTCAGGATTGGCGCACCTGCCCGTTAAAACTCCAGAAAAGGACGTTATATGGGTGTGCGTTTTGTGCTCCTATGAAAACTGCGACTTTGGACAAGCGTTCATACAAATCAAGAGAAGGTAACTACCAAAGAAAGGACAGCTAAGTTGCAAAGTTGCTATATGGTCTTATGGTGCAGTAAGCAAGTGTGCAGTGTCCTGACTTGGGCCTTGATCCTGATGTGTCGGTGTGTGGAGGCAGCGAGATGCGATGAACGTACCCAGGATGATGAGGGACGCCCTACGGGTCGAGACCCCCATTTTCGCATGAGCGTCATGAAGACATTGGGTATACAGAACCTGCTACGAGGAAAAGGCTCACAGTCTCACAGTGAAAGACACCATCAGGCAATTGGTCCAATGTTTCGTTTAAACATGTTCAACCAGGGTTTTAGCCACCCAATGTTTAAAGTTTGGGTAGGCACATAGGGTAATATATGCTGGATGATGTGTTGAATTCCGTTTAAACGGATTCCTCTTCCACTTTCCTGAGCACAAGTAGCAAAACTTTGTTGTGTTGACTTGACTTCCCAATGAGCATGTAAGGCTTGAACGTTCATTGCAACCTCCAAAAATGTTTAATGGTTTAATATGCAGAGCACAATAGTAATAGTACACCACGAGTCAATTATAAACAAAAAAATGTCCGGGCCTCCGAAACCGTGCAATAGTGAACTTTGCTGTCTATTTTTCAGTCGGTTGAAAACAAAGAGAGCGAGTTAACGAAAACCGTGTTCAACTAATACTCATGCAATAATAAACAAAATAGTATAAACTATATAAACTATATAAATTATATTAAATTATACTGTCAATACAACTATAAAGTTGGCTTACTCGGCTCTACAGAAATAAACCTGCTTTTGAGTTCATGTGCCGTAATTAGTAAGCATCAATAAACCGAACGTTCTCCTGTGTATTAATAAGCCTCTTTCCAGCAAATCTTGAAACAATATTCGACTAGTTAGTTATCGTTTAATTTTTCGATTCTTTTAGCTATTTGTTAGCTTCTTGTTTTAATCATGTGTAAACAACAATCAGATTCAAATCTTCTAGCCGTAGCCAATCTCAAACTATCAATTTCGCCTTTACAAATTACATCCTTTAAAAATAGTTTTGGCATGTTTTGGCAAAGGGTACCCCGTACAAGTGCCAATGACATAGAATCATAAACTACTGTCAACAGTCAACAAAAAACTTTCTTAATAAAACATATCCTTTCATTGTTAACTGTCTCTTAGGTGTGAACTATTGCATTGTTTAAAATATATCTTAATAATCTCCTGTGTAATAGTAAACCTCCTTCCGGACTGATTTGATTCGTTTTTGAATTACTTCTAAATTCGATCAATTAAAACAAAATATAAAAATTGTATAACAGCAAAATATCTCAGGTCTGAGGATTTTATTGCGAGTAGTTATTACTACGACGAACAAATTGTGGGCCTCCCATTTGTCACTAGGGGGGAGGTATATAATTGCGATGTGAACATTAAACGGTTTGCGAGTCAAACGCTTATTTCACCCTTTTTTGGACCTGGCGCAGCTTCCTGCTTCCTCACCTGAGTTTCCCTGCTATCCATGCGATTGGACTCCTCGAGGCGCGCTTCCTCAGAACCTTCTTGGACGGCAGGCAAGAGACCTGCCAGGCGGATTCGATCTCGCATGACTATGACTTGCCATGCCCGTCTGAAGTCTAGCAGCCCGAAACCCAACCGACCCTCTTCCGGGTTTTAGTCCGGGCTGATTGCAGAAGGAGAGCTCCAAATCTTTCATCGAAAAATGAAAGAGCATGTGCCTGGATCAGAACTGCAGAAGCGTGAGAAACTATAACATAAAATATTGTGCAGACTTGGCCCGTCACTAGCAAAAACCTACGAATAGCAACGAAGCCTGAGTAAACAGTATGCCCGCAACAAAGCCCAGCTTCAAGGCAGCCACCAGCAGCCTTACCAGCAGCACATGATTCCTGTGACGCCTCTGACGCCTCTGACGCCGACGTGAAACCTCGGTCCGGCGCGACCGACTCGCGACCTGAGGAGCTCTCCGAGAGGATGGACCTCTCAGAGCGGGAGATGCTAATGACCTCCATGGACCTGGAGCGTGCGGGGTAGAGGCTGCCGACCTCCGAACGAGGGAGACGGGCAGGGTCGTCCCTCAGGTTCTTGACAAACAATGTTGG